CTGCATCACTTAACCTCCAATTTTATTTATCTTAGATGTAAATAAGTATTTTCGGCTTTAATTCTAAAGTGTCCTTTAGATATACCAGACAGTAAAATTTTGTGATAATTGTCATATATCAGACTGTAAAGTTCGTAAAAAAGAAAACAGTTCCTCCTTACTATCTTCTTCAACACCGTCAATTAGGAAGTTGGGACATACATTGAGAATATCGAGATAAATACAATCATCCAATCCATCCATTCAACCATATATATTATATATATATATATATATATATATATATTTTGATGGATTGGAGTCAATAAAAGGTGCTATTGGTTAACTATTTTTTATGTCAAGCTTTCAATCGTGTTTACAATCTAAAGAGCTTCTAAAAAATATAAAAAATCTTACAAAGTGAAACTAGAAAAATAAATTTTAACTCACCAAATAAAATTAGTTTTGTTACTTAATCTAAACTGCTAAACATATTAAAAATCTATTTTAAAAAATATCCAATGAATGTTTCTCTAAATTTAGTAATTTTTACAAACATTTTTAACAAAAATAATTGAATTTATAAATAAGTTAGAATAGCGAGCAATTACAAATAAGCCTCAATTAACCCCCTCTGTGGCTCAGTGGTAAGAGCGCCTACCTTTAAACCTAAAGGTCGTGAGTTCGAATCTCATCTGGGTGGAGAAATTTTCGTTTATTAAAAATTAATCAATGAAAATAATTTCTATCCTTGTGCGATCGGTACTCACCGGAGAGACCGCAGACGTTCGGATACAATTAGCGTCTCTTAGCAAAGACAATGACGTCGACTTTGCTAAGTATCAAGACAATTACTCTACACACACACAAAAATGATGTTAAGTTCCTTATATTAAAAATATTAGAAAAAAATATTCTATGTAGCATATCTGGAGGATAATAGCTTTCAATTAAAATATTTTTTAACAACTGAAGATCTTCTTGTAGATAGTCTGGATGGGAAAGCTTTAAAACACGTTCTTTTAATCCTGTTATAAGGTTCGTTTTCATCTTACTTGGATGAATTAAAAAACCATCTTGTGCTTTGGCAGAGCATGTAATCGACAAAGACCATATTATAGATTTTGATAATATTAAAATTTTATATAATGGAAGTAATAAATTCAAAAGGACTTTTTTAGAAATGGTTTGTATTAGCAGAAGTGATAATAATTTAAACAAAAGATCAGAAATTCAAAATCTAAGCAAAATTATAATTATATTATTTCACTATAGTTTATTAATTAAAATATTATATTTTAATTTAATATTCCATATACTTGTTACATTGTTTAGACATATATCTATGTATCTAAAGAATTTTTTAAACAAGAGTTTATTTTTTGGCAATATAATTGTCAAAAATAAAAATTTTAAGTTTGCATTCATGACATTGAGGCTTATTTGTAATTGGTCGCTCTTCTAACTTATTTATAAATTCAATTATTTTTCGTAAAAAAGTTTTTCAAAATTACTAAATTTAGAAAAACATTCATTGGATATTTTTTTAAATAGTTTTTTTAATATGTTTAGCAGTTTAGATTTAGTAACAAAACTAATTTTATTTGGTGAGTTAAAATTAAATTGTCTAGTTTCACTTTCAAAGATTATTTGAATTTTTTTAGAAGTTCTTGAAAAAGATTGTAAACACAACTGAAAGCTTGACTTAAAAAATAGTTAACCAATAGCCATTAACTCCAACCCATAAAAAACTTATTTATATATTTTCCCCCCATTTGGACATATGGCTCGCAGCTCTGGGGTTCAGCTAGCAAATCTAATATTATGATAATACAAAGATTTCAATCCAAAACTCTGAGAACAATCGCTAATGCACCTTGGTATATCTAGAATGATGCAATACATAGAGATCTTCAGGTACTAACAGTCTCTGAAGAGTGCAAAAAATCTTCTCAACAATATCAAAAGAGGTTGCGGGTGCATCCTAATCCACTGGCACACAATCTTCTCAACAACCAACAAGCGGAGAGATTGAAGCGACATGACTCCTTGGACCTACCTCACCGATCCTGACAGAGCCTACAGCAGTGGGAGTTACGCCTTCAACAGCACCCAGCCATTGTGATCAGTGCCGCTTTTAGTGCTCGCGTATCAGTGTATGTGCACATCCTAACGGTAAACAAGCCATTTTTTGTCGTTATGATTTAGTTACTGGACCTTACATCTCTCTGTCATTTAAAGACAAAAAAACGTACTTATTGTTTTCACTGCAAAACAGATTGTAAAATCTTAAATGTTAATAATAAAAAAAAATTTTCCAAACCTGAGCCAAGATTAATACTATAACAAGAATTAATAATAAATTCAACAGTCTTCCGGGTTGAACTGCATCGATTATCATTGCGCCGAGCTTTCGACATACTCTTTGATGCTTTCTTCAGAGCTTCCCAGGCCTCAGTCTCTTGAGCATCCCTTTTATTAAGACAATTTGGCTTTTTTCAATTTCTATGGATTTTCAGATAATTCTTGGTTTATAGAAGCGGATGGTGGTGAAGGAGTTTGTAAAATCAATTTTGTGACCTATTGACCTAGAGCTTAAATTAAATTGGAATTTTAAACAGAAATAGAAGGTTTATAAATCCTATTTTGGATTCTACAATGTGTTTGGACTATGTAAGATCATGTTGTCTTTGATTATTCGAACAAGAGATAAAACTTTTTGCTGGGGGGTAAATATCGTCTTTATTCCTCTTGATTTAAGAATTTTGTCTATTTGGTCAGTGACAGCTGTGATATAAGAAAGAAAAGCTTTTGTATAATGAGGGTCTGAGTGTTTGGATTGGGATTGAGTGGGATCTCTAACACTATTACATAGCATTAAAACTACAATGGTATAGTGACAAATTTAATGCTTTATGGCCATATTGTTCTTCTAAATAATCCTTAATCTTAGAGGTATCTTGTATCTAAAAATAAACAATTTGCAAAAGCCCGTTTCTCAATATTGCCTTAATAAAGGGCAGCTTATTGTTTGTTAATCAATCTTTCAGTCTTGGATGAAGACATGTTTGGTCCTTTCTCTAACAACAAGCTATGGTATGAAAAATTATTTATTATAATTAGGGATGGTTCAGAAAAATTTTTAATATTTTTGATTTTTGAATGGAGCCTTTTTTTATCATATCAAATAATGTTTCTACAGAAGAATTTTATTTCAACATCTTTATGTTTTCAATATGATTAAATATATTACCATTTTCCATCAACGTTAAAAAATTTTACACTTCTTTTATGGAGAGATGGGATTTCCTCTCCATGTCGCTCATGGAGAGATCCATGATTCCAATGTCCTTCAGCTATTAAAAACAAACGTGTATAGTTCTTTACGTTTATATTTTTGATATAATCTCAAAAATTCTGCTTTTTTCAGAGCAATATGAGACTGTTCTCTCAGTCCTCACCTTGGATCATCTTTTAGCAATTTCAAACCAGTGCCATTCAGTACAATACTAAGAGACATGCGACAACCACTAAACAGTTCCTTTTTTAAATTAAATCTATAAAGGGATAAAAGTCACATGTTCTTCTGAAAAGAAATAAATTTGATTTCATGTTAAACAAATCTTTTTAACTTAATACTCTTTATGATATCTTTCTTAACAAAAAGTATTACTTACTTCGTTCATACACATTGTAAATTGTATTGCGAATTTTGCTTGTATTCATTATTTTAGTACTCCCCTAACAACAGTCAACAGAGGAATAGGGCTGTTTGTATCACGTTTCTGTTCAAACACCGCAACTGTCAAATAAGCATTACCAATTTATTCCAAAATGTCACCTTCGTTCGATCGCAGATATAGTGTGATCCGGGCAAAAGTGCTTTATAAAAACGCATTAGAATTTATGTATAAAAATTTAATGAAACAAGTTATTATTATTTTTTTTAAGTTTACATTAACAGAAATCATTAAATATTATTTCTAGGCGTATATATAATAAAATATGTCTAGTGGCTTTAATTCCAGTATACTTGACTAAAACATTCTAAGAAGGCATAGACCTGCAACTTAAATATTTTGTGTTGGTATCATGTGACGTCAATTACTATAACGCGGATGACGTACATCGGGATTTATACTGTACCAACTGTACCAATTTTTTTAATATTAATTTTGTTGTAGCCCAGCAGATACTTTCTTGTGATTTATCCACTGTCGGTTTCTTAATAAAGCAGCATCATGTTACGGAGAACAAAATAAAGAAAATGATGTCTATTTTTTTTAATTTAAATATCCAATCAAATAAATTACGTTAAAATAATTTTTTTGGTGTTAAGATATTTATTTTTTTTTAATTTTCTTTATTATTAGAGTCATTTAAATTTGGTAATAACATTTTAAATAATAATTTGAATACGAATTTGAAATAATAAATTATTTTTTTAGTAGTAACCACTAAAACACTTTGTTATCATTAACGACAATGTTTAATATCAAGAGATTTTAAGAGAGAAAGAGGTTAGATCTTTGTAAATGGGTATATTTAAAACCCTTAAAAGGGGTACATCAATTACACGAACTCTCCAAATTAAACTCTCCGAAGAGGTTTACTCTCCGGCCACTGGAACTCACCTAAAACATGGGTGTATGTTACCTGAAGTCAAATGTAATTTAATATTAAACATCAAATGTGATTAACAACATTCTGTACAATCTTTAATAAACATATTTAATTTAAAGCGTTTTTACCCTGATATTCTGGTGGCTCAGGCATGTCAATTTGCATTTTAAACCTGATGATAAAATTTTTATTCCGAAATCGTTCATGTAATTGATGTACCCCTTTTAAGGGTTTTTTAAATATACCCATTTATAAAGATATACCCTCTTTTTTGTGATACGTGGTATACAGCCAGCTGCAGGAATTATTTTCCTTGTGGATTTTATTTTAATAAAGCTCTCAATATTAAGTAACACTGAATCAAATATTTAACCACGCTAACAGATTTTTTGTTACAGGTTTAAATAAATGTACAGTCGAAAGGTATAATTCTACATCCGACTTTCAAACAAAAAATATGGTTACAGGTAAATTTTTTTTTTGTTATTTATTTTAGACTTGGATAAAATGATTTAGTCGTATTTCTCTAATCGTTTCTAATCCAACAAAGAATCTAAGATTTTTATTTCATATTTGTTCATCATTGTGTTTTTTTTGCTTAGTTACCAACTACATAAGAGTTTACTTATGTAGTTGGCAAGATATTAACAAAAATATGATATAATTTATGAGCCATGCTCATAAAAAAAAGGATAACACCAGCTTTCAGTACAAAGAACCAATTAGGCAAATATATAAAGAACAACAAGGGCCAAAAGACAAATCGCTTTCACAGTATACAAACTTAAATGTGGCGACAGTGTGGCGACAACCTAGTGATTTTTATTCATCTGACCGTGGAAATGTATCCAAACATATATATATATATATATATATATATATATATATATATATATATATATATATTTATATATATATATATATATAATATATATATATATATATATATATATATATATATATATATAGAAAAGAAATTTAATCTTTGCAGATAAGTTAAATAGTAAACTCTTAAATATTGGGGAAATCTGCAAGAAAACTCTAATGTGTATCAATTGTTTCGCCTAACGTTTTCGCCAAAGAGAATTAATTTGGCTTCTTCAGGGCTGAAAGAGAATAAATTATAATTAGCTACCATATATTATCTAATAAAAAACATTTACCTTACCGTAAATTTTAGAAATGTCGAGTTATGATGTTAAAAAACTTTACCTAGTAACAACATAGTGGTGTTTGTTACTATGTGCAAAAAAGTTCTTTTGTTAATGTTGGAAATGTATAGTAGCTTTGAACTTAAAACGCAAAGGTTTACCCAAGGTTAATCGAAAAACCCAATGTAACTAGATTTAAAGGAAGTAATTCTTTGAATTGTCGGCAATAACTTAATTTTTAATTGTTATAAAGTTTGAATGTGAGCTTCTGTTTTCATAGAACGCAAGCGCTGACAATTACAAGTAGATAAGTATTACTTACTTACGACACAATGGAACCATGTGGGTATTCTTCTAAGGTTTTGGAAACGCTTACAAATCTCTCTGATGAGAGATGGCATAAAAACAAAACAGTGACTACTCTTATAAAAACTGACACATTACAATGGGGTATAATTCATTTTTTTTTTCATAATAAATTTGCCGGTTCCTCCAGACTAAACACGCCATGTCTGCTTTCTATTAAATTTCTTCCAAACCTAACTTCATTAACTTTTACATGAAACTTCACACTGCTACTATACTGCACATTTTTCCATGGCAAAAGACAAACAACGAATTAGAAGAAAATTCGGACCAATACGGAGTGACGTAATTTTGTTTAAAAAACTCGGTATAAACAAAACATAAACGGTTAAATTCCTATTTATTTGACGCGCAAAATATCCTAATGTGGCTCTCGATCAAAGAATACTGAAGAAATACGCATCTGTGATATATGACGTAATCATCATCATTGTGGCTTTACAACCCTATGTAGTCGTCCCTATCCATCGCCTTTCTCCGCCAAGCACGTATTTCCATATTGCTCATATCTTGATCTATGTTATCTAGGAATTTTGTTTTTTGGATCTTTCTCTTCTTCGATGAATAGGTCTATCAAGGAGCGTTTTTCTAGCTGTGTCTGTTTGCTCCATCCACATTAGATGGCCTACCTACTTCAAACGTCCTATCTTAATGTGTCTTACGATATTTGGTTCCTGGTATATTCTATAGAGTTCAAAGTTATATCGTCTTCTCCAGCCACCATTTTCATTTACCGCTCCATAGATTCGCCTTAGTTTTTTGTTTCGACACACCCTAACATGTTTTCATTGCTTCTTGTTAAAGTCCAGGTTTCTGAACCATATGTTAGGACTGGGCGTATTATTGTTCTGTAAAGTTTTACTTTTTTATTTCTTGATATAACTGTAGATTTAAAAAGGAGATTAAGCTAAAATAGCATCTATCAGCCGTGCAAATTCTGCGGTTTATCTCTGCGGTAGTGTCATTTTCAATATTGACAAGCGTTCCCAGGTATAAAAATTCATTAACTTCTTCGATGACGTCGTTTTCTATAACAACTGGCTGTAGTTTTTGTGGTTACGTACCTATTTTCATGTATTTCTTTTTATTGGTGTTTATTAATAAACCCATTTTTGTAGCTGCTTCCTTCAGTGCTACGTACGCCTTTCGTACTGCGTTTTCCATTCTCCCAAGAATATTGTATTGATATCATCAGCATATGCTAGGATTTGCACAGATTTGTTATATATTAAACCGGTAGTTGTGATTTGTGACGTATGTATTACTTTTTGTACAAAAAAAGATTTAATGCAAACCTGTACATTCACAATAACGAAATCGAACGGGTGTACAAATATAAATACTTGGGAATAAGTATTAATAACAACAATGACATCACAGAAGAAATAAAAACTAGAATTAAAAGGCCCGAGCTGCTTTTGTTAATATAAAGGACATTCTGGGAAGTCATGACATTAACCTAAACCTGAAAATGAGATTTGTTAGATGCTACATCTTTTCGATACTGCTGTATGGAGTAAAGACTCGGACTTTAAACAAGAGCAATATCGATAAACCAGAGGCCTTCGAAATGTGGATATATAGAAGAATTTTGTAAATACCTTGGACAGACAAAATAAAAAATACTGTAGTTATTCGAAGAATGAACAAAGAACGGGAGCTGTTGATCACCACCAAGAGAAGAAAGCTTCAGTATCTTGGTCATGTGATGAGAGGGAAAAAGTACGGATTGCTCAAGTTAATTATCCAAGGAAAGATTCAGGGCAAACGTAGCGTGGGAAGACGACGTATATCTTAGCTGCGCAATTTAAGAGACTGGTTCCAGTGCACACCTAACCAATTATTTTAAAGAAACAGCTTCAAAGATACGAATAGCAATGATGATTTCCAAACTTCCTAGCGGAGAGAGCACTTGAAGAACAAGAAGTATTACTTTTTCCAGAGCTAGATTGAATAATATACAGAAGAGTGCATCTCTCTGACGTAGTTGTGATTTGTTTTAAAAGATTCAGATAGTTCCCCTAGATTTGTACTCTGTATTCAACTTTTTCAAGGGTTAGTTTGGTTAGACTTACCAACTGATTTGGTTCTCCAAGGTCTATAATTGCTCTAAACAATTCTTTTCTATTTACAGAGTCGTAAGCTGCCTTGTAGTCTATAAATATTTTATACGCTGCATTTAGGAGCGTAAATTCCTCGATAGTTAGAGCATTCAAAGATATCTCTCTTTTTGTGTATGGTGCAAAGTATTCCAATATTCCATTCACTCAGGGACCTCTTTATACATATTTGCTTTATAAGCTGCTGTAGCGCTATTGCGATATCGTGGCCACCTTCTTTATATAATTTCGCTGGGAGATTATCTATTTCGGGTAATTTGTTTCTGGCTAGTTTGTTTACAGCGTCTTTAACTTCCCTGGTTAAATTATTTCATCCAGTGGTGTAGTATGTCTGTTCTTGTTGTTAATAAATCGCCATTCAAACTTCTACATTGATTTGTGTTTGCCTTAATTTCTTTTATGTTGATATTAACCTGCTTATATAATGTTCTGAATTCTTTCTCTCTGTTGAGGTTTTCTATATATTGAAGTTTCTTTTTTAAGTGGTTTCGTTTCTTCATTCTGTGTATTTTCTTTTCTCGTCTTGTCTTTGTCTGGTAATTCTCTATACTTGTTCTAGTTCGGCGGGTGAGCATTTTTGCATAGGCTTCATTTTTTTGTGTTTCGTCTTTGCACTCATCGTCAAACCAGTGATTTTTTCGATTACAAGTTTCTGTTCCTATTTCTTCTTGTGCTGCTGACTCAATATCTTCCTTTATTATTTTCCAGTAGTAGTCTATATCTCTCTGATCTTCTTCGCTTAGACTTTGATTCCTTAACTATTTTCCCAGTACTGTTTTGCAACAGTTGCAATCTCTCAGTTTCTGTACATTCCATTTACTTCTATCTATTTTTTTTGTTGGAATTTGAAATTCTAGCCCTTATTGTTGAGATCACTAAACAATGGTCTGAGTCTATGTTTGCGCCTCTATAAACTTTTGCAGTTTGTTATGTCCTTTCCGTGTCTTGAATCTATTAAGATGTGATCAATCTGAGTAGTTGTTCTTCCATCAGGGGAGGTCCAGGTTACCTTGTGTATATTCTTGTGTTAAAAATAGTTGCTAGCGACGGTCATGTTCAGTGCAGCTAAGTTTATCAGTCGTAATCCATTATCGCTACTGATGTTGTGTAGGCCATGCCTTCCTATAGTCGGCATAAAAACTCGCTTTCGTCCTATTCTTGCATTCATGTCACCTAGGACTATCTTGATGTCATTTCTGGGGCATCTTCTCTAGGCTTGTTCTAGGTCTTTGAAAAACTGTTCTTTAATGTCTTCTAGTTTGACATCTGTCGGGGCATGTGCATTAATTAAACTATAATTAAAGAATTTACCTTTTAAGCGTAAATAGCACATTTTTTGATCGTAGACTTTAAAATCAATAACTAGGCCTTTTGTTCTTTGGTTTACTATAAATCCCACTCCATCTATGTGTTGGTTTTCATTGCAGCTGTAATATATGGAGTGGGTTCTCTTGTCAAGAATGCCTGTTCCCGCCTTACCATCCATCGCATTTCCTGCGGTGCCAAAACATCTACTCTGTACATGTTCACTATGTCTAGTAGAGATGCGAGTGTTCCAGCTCGGTACAGGGTTTGAGTGTTCCATGTTCGTAATCTTAATTCCATTTTTCGTTTACAGTGTCGTCCTCGTAAGTTCCGTCCCCGGCTAATAGTTCGTAATATATATATATATATATTATATATATATATATATATATATATATAATACATAATAATAATTTTTTGGTATTCTATTACGTACAAGGTGATTTGAAATGCTACCACTCTTCATATATTTTAGTAACTGTTTGCTTAATTCTTAAACACCTACATGTTGTTCCAGCAAGACCTAATCATGACTACTCTAGCAGAAATTTAACCTTTGATGTGTATTTACCGATCCCGTCCAGTGAGTTAATAAAGAAATCTATACTATATTCGGTAAAAACATATACACCCATCTTTCTTTGCAATTTAAATATACAACTTCTTTCCTTACGTTCCGTAAATTGACAAAAGCCTGTATATCTGAAAGACCATATTATTCAGTGAAAGAGTTTCTTAACGAATAACTAAGAAATTACAGTACAAGTAAATAAAGTATTTATATATATATATATATATATATATATATATATATATATATATATATATATATATATATATATATACATAATTATTTGGGTATCACACGCAGCAAATTAAAGTTATTAGTTCGTAAAGTTTTATTATGAAATTTGAAATTTATTTAAATTTTGCAATGAATTGTATATTTTATTATCTTTTATTTTGTGGTATTGACGATTTATGTAATTTTAGTAAATATTAAATTGTTATTGTTATTTTTCTGACTTTTTGTAAGCTTTGTCCAAGAAATTGTACAATTTTCAGTGGCAATAAATCATATTTCTTCTTTTTCTTTTTCTACAAAAGCCAGTAATATTTATGTTTTATTGTCTATTTCTTTTAATACAACCTTTACAATGCCTTATATGATGCTATGATACTATTATAATCTCTGTTCATTTTCTGATTTTAGAAGACCAGGTGTCGGTATTTCTTACAGAAAACTCCCAATTTCTGGAAGATTATGTTATGAATAAAATTGAAATAGAACAAATTGAACGGTGGATTATCCGAAAATCTAAAATATCTGACAAAACGCCAGACACAACATTACAAACTCGAAAGACAAGTTTATCTAAATGGAAATTTTGTGTACATGCTGATAAGCGTCAAATGTTAAAAAACTTAACTCAAAGTCTTCAAGCTAAACCTACTCAAGATCACGTATTATGGGAATTAGCCAATTGCATATCTTCCGCAGTCAAGGCAGATGGATTTAGGTAATTTAGATAATAATTATGCAATTATATAGAAGTTGTGTGTGTGATGTTCGTTTCTTTTGACTGTGGACTTATCCATTAGTATAAAATTACTCTACTAAGATATCTCTTATACTCGTTATATTTGTGATTATTTATAACCTATTTGATAATAATGGCATGATAATGGTTTACAATAGTAATTCACACATTATATTATACAGGTACCTAGATATATATTTTAGTGAGCGGTTTTTGTTTTTGTGGAAGAATACCAAAAATACTACATGCTATAATAGATTATATTAATACTACCACTAATAACTATTAAATTATAAAAATATTTTTTTTAACACAACGCTGGATCATAAACCCGGTTCAACACCTCGGAGGTTTATGTCCTCTTTGTGTTTTTTTTTTTTATTTTTTTAATTTATTTTTAAATTTTGTTTTATTTTTTTTTTGTTTTTTTTTTGTTTTTTTTTTGTTTTTTTTTTTGTTTTTTTTATTTATTATTTTTTTATTTTTTTTTATATTTTAACATAAAATTTCACAATTTTAGTTTTATATTAATAATGTGTTTAATTGGGACCTCACAGATACTTTTACCTTTAGTAGCAATCAAAACTTGTATATTAAAAGAGTTTCTTATAGATTGTGTAATATAAACTTGATCTAGAAAATAATCTATTTCTTTTTTTTTTTCATTTACAATCCAATATCGTATCTTCTGCGGATCCTAATTCTCCACGTTCACAACAGTTTGTGTCTGATAGTCCTATTTTATGTTTATATTGTGGAAGTAAGGAGTGGCCAAACCTAAGTCTACATATATCATGATACTATGACTTCCAAGATAAAACCACTTCGCAATCGAATTTTGTACGTCGATGCGCCTGACGTCACTTGGAGATAAAAGTTTATCTTTAATTTAATATTCTGAAATATATTTTATATAAAGTGCACACATTTCGCGTCCGCGTGGGTTTATCTTTAGTTCATAGTATCATGCATATATATGATATAAGGACCTTGTTGTCATGATATTCTCTAAACCAGCTTTTGGATGGTATCTCTTTTTGAATAGTTTTATAATACAGTCCCTTTTTTGGAATTAATATACCATTCTTTCCAGAGTTGTTTATTTTATTAATATTAATATAAGCATGGGCGTCATTTAGTGTTAACTTATATTCATAGTTAGTATCTAATTATGTAGCACTCTGCTAGTTTTTCTATTTCATTATTTTTTAAATTGTCATATGATATGACTATAATGTTCTGTCCAGTTCTCCAATTTATTAACAGCACTTTTGTTATCTGAAAGTATCACGAATTTATCATTATTGGTATTTGTTACTATGTACTGCATTGCTCTTAATATTGCTATTGGTTCTCCTGTAAATACCGTGGTATCTGTATCTAGACCTATTCCTTCTCTGTTTTATGTTTTAGGGTCCCATATAGCAGCACCAACTTTAGAGTTAATTTTTGGGGCATCTGTATAAATATGGTAATATTTTTTGCATAGTATTTCTGTATCTGTATTAAATATAGAGTTCCTTAGATTCGCTGATAAACTCGAATAATCTCTCATGTAAATTGGCTGTATATTAGGAATACTATTAAGATATATTTGAAATATGTAGGTTTCAACAAGTAATAAAGTAGGTTTTTTCTGCCAGTATTCACTCGTTAGATCATATATAAAAAGTTTTGACACTTATCCTCTATTAAACTCTCTTTAGTAATGGTTTTAATTATTAACTTTTCGCACAGAGTTTTTCTTTTTAAATGCAGTGGTGGTTCATTCCACTCTATACTTAAATTAGATGTCAGGGTGCTTATTAGAGCTCCGACACATAATCGAAGGCATTTATTTGATAACACTTCTACTTTTTTTAAGTGATTTTTGGCTGCTTGGTTGTAAAATATGCATCCGTAGTCTAAAATTGATCTTATATAATGATCTGTACATTATTAATGAACTATTAGCATCTGCTTTCCAATTTATGTGACTTACTGCTCGTAATGCATGAAAACCTTTTCCAGCTCTTGTCGCAACGGATTCAAGATGATTTTACTACTTTTGGAAGTTTTTATTTTCTGGAAAATATGCAAACTTGTGTTTTTTTACAGATATTAATTGTGATGGTTTATTAAATTTTGGATTGGTCATTTTTCTCTTCTCTGGAATGCTAATTTTAAGCTTCATTTATAGAATCGTAAAATATTTGATATTCTTGTTCTATATTTTCTCATATATATATATATATATATATATATATATATATATATATATATATCAGTTTTATCATATCCCCATATTTTATTATGACAATTAAAGTTTCCTCCCACTAAAAATGGTTTGTTTCAACTATTGAAGAATCTGACCCACTCATTTTTTGATACACACAGTTTAGGCTTTGCATATACCGAGTATAAGTTTAGAATATTATTTTTTTCAATTGACTTGAACTGCAATACACATTACATATTTATTTTATAAAAATTTTGGTTATTCCAAAAATTAATCTTTTTTTATTAATATTGCTACTCCTCCATAACCGGTTGGTCCATCTTCGCGAAATATATTATATCGAGAAAAGTTTATGTTTGTATTTGGTTTCAACCAAGTTTCACTCAGTAATATAGCCAAAAAAATATTTTTAAATATATATTTTTCAAAATGTCGCTTATTGTGTATTATCGATCGTGAGTTCCATTGTAAGATTTTTTTACTTGTTAGATCCATTTAAAATTTTTTCTAGACTGTCTTTAAAGTCTTCCAAAATTTGTTTATTTTCTGTTGGTGAAAAAATGTTACCTAGAATAGTTTTAAATATTTTTAATACATTTTCACTAAGATTTTTGTTCATTTGAGAATTTTGTGTTATTTGTTTGTGATACATTGGAATGTTCTTAGGAATTGGAAGAGGCGGGTACTCAAAGGTGCTAGGATTTGCCAAAATATTTTCATGTTCTTCCGAATACGGGTAAACAGACATTTTGTGCAGCTTCGCTCCATTTTCTTATGTTGTTATTGTATATCTATTAGCTACATTTGATGTTTTTAGAGCTGATGTGTAACTATTATTGTATTTTAATTTTACTCCTTCAAATGCCATATTTTCGATTACCATAAGATAGGTATTTAATACCCTTTTGTTTCTCAAATTCAGGTCATTTTGTTTGATCTAATGCTAAACGTTTTCCAAAACAAAATATAAAAGTAGGCTCTGTTAAGTCGCATACTTCAGATTCATGATCTTGTCCACATTTTCCGCATTTTTTTTCTCTACATTGTGTCGTAACTTTACTTTTTACTTTCTATTAAGATATTTGCACGTTTATAGGAGTTACATTCAATTCTAACTTTATTTCTACCAACGACGCTAATATTAACTATATTATCTTTTATTGTAGGTGCCGCATTTAGTATTAAACGTGCTGTTGCAATTTTATGTAACCTAATAATATTTCCATCTTTATTTTGTAAATAAATAAAATATGGTCCTTGATCTCCTTGTGTATATTTATTTTTGGTTTTTGTAATTAACGACTGATTTACATTAGTACTATTAGTATCGCTTACCTGAAAAACTGGAAACAAGTTGTTTGGTTGTGGTTTTAATATCTGTGAAGCCATGAAACTTTGACTTGTATTTTCACTTAGCGGTGTTTTTTCCCTTTATTATCCAAATCCATAAAATTTAAAATATTAATGATTTTTCCTCGTTCGGGTGGATGGCCTTTACCAATTGTATTGATTTCCATTTTACAAATTTAACACTTTAAACACACTAACACCGATCACAATCAGAACGGTTAATCCGTTTCGAATGCTAAATCGACAAAGACATACTTTGTCCTTAACAATTCCAAATCAAGTTTTCCAATAATAATAATTTTAGTTTTCGATTAATACGAGAGGAAATTGATTACAACACAGTATCTACTAAAAAACCCTGGTATTCCATTCTTTCCATTCCAACATTTAAAATACATGTAATCTTTAAATATTTCTGTATTATGTTTTCGCTTATAATATTCCAATTATGGTGCTTGAAGCAATCAACGTTGATATTAGGTATTGCCTCCAGCTAAAGATGTTCTTTGCTCTTTCTTTTTATTTACGCAGTTGATTAATGTGCTCAATGAGAAGATAAAAAAAATAAATTGTAAATGTTTTCTTATCGATATGCCTTCTACGATCATCCACTGGAAAAGTACACTGCCCCTCATATTATTTACAGACAATTGGTGAGTTAATTCGTAATACCTTTCTTCAAAGATCAAAGACAATGCCAACTAATAGATATAATTGGACTTAAATAAATGTTTTAATCTTATTAATTATTTCTTTTACTTGTTTTAGATTATATGTTATTGATAAGGAAAATCCTGCACAGCTACTTCTTTATTTAGCCACGGAAGAAAATACAAATCATTCTCCAAAACTAAGAGTTATTAAAAACAATGTATCTATTCCAACATATGTGGCAAAAACCCATGAAGCAGTAAGATTTTCTAGAGGAAAATCTGATTCCAGATTTCCAGACACGGTTTTCAAAGAGGTAAATAATACTTTTCATATACAGATCATTAAGTTGAAGTTTAGGGGTTTTGTAGGGGTTTTCACATTGTGAAATACTATAACATGCTTGGCGAGCTTAACAGTCTATAATTAGTACCCCGAGGTATGAGACAGAACACAAGTGTAATAATACTTAAATGCTTATGAAACGAATGAGGTGGATAATAAGATCTTTTGCAGTTTACTCGTTTTCAACTTGTTTTGAGGGAAATGTCTTTATTCTTTCTTATAAGACTCCCTAGGAGACTCCCTTAACTTACTCTTATTTCTTCGACACCGAATGACTGTTAGATTTCGGAGCGACCAGAAGTCAATATTTTCTTTCTACTACACAATGTAGAAATGCAACGAGAAACCGCCTTGGTCCTAATTTTTTCAAGAAAAATTATAGTAGATACATGGGGTAATGGCGCTACAAATCTTCCGATGAGCTAGAATCATGTACAAATTTGCTAGCAAGAGGAAAATAGGTACATGGAACTTAAAAATGTATAAACCAGGAAAAATTCAAAACACCATTAATAACATAACTGACTAGATATGAGTATCCTTGGAATAGGTGAAATTAGATACCCAGGATCTGGCAAAGTAACTATAGAACATACAATTATATTCTATGCAGAGAAGCTCCTACCAGCCAACAAGTTGGCTAATGACTGTAGAACAACTCTTATGTGAGTGTAAGTTTCGAGTAGGAACATACAGTTCCCGGAAACTTAAATCTTTAACCATTAGCAATATGTCGTTTAATTTGATACGTTTATGATCTAATATATAACTTACACACACCCACTGATTGGTAATGAGGTTATGTGACAAGTACGTCAAAGTTCAATAAGATCTGATAAGGTTTGATAAAACCAAAAACGTCCCTTCTGAAAATTTCTAGTTGGCAATCCATTCAGAGATATTGCCTCAGGGTCAGCAGCAACCCCTATTGGGAGTCTTACGTTGCCATGCAAAATATATATTTAAAACTTTAACATTACACCATCTTTTTAACAAAAATGTAACACATAATAAATTGTATATCAATATTTAATGGCTTGGCTCATGTACACTTGGTAATACACTGATGATGGACTTTTCAGTCCGAAAACGTTTTGTCATCTAGCCCGAAAGGGTCTTTTAGTTGTATACCATTGACAAAGGAATTTTAAATAAAGTTTTTATTTAAATTTTTATCAAACAGAATGTTTTATTATTTTAGTTGAATTTGGTCTACATGTGACATTGAATATTATTCTTATTTTAAACAAAATGCCATATACTATTTCATTTTAAAATACCCTTTCATTATTTAGTGATTATTTAAATTTATGAACATCATTCTTTTATTTAAACCTTTGTGCCTTGTCAAAGAAGGTCTTTCAAGAGATAAAAAAATAAATAAATAAAATTCATTAAGAAAAAAATAAATTAAAGAAATTGTTTTAAGTGTCAATAGGGTTTAATACAGTTGAATGTGCCACTGATTCATGGCAGTTTAGATAATATACTACAGCGAATTCTAAATCTGCGTATAACTATTTTTTTTCTGCTCATATTGAATAATTGAAATTTCTCGATGGAAGGTTGAATTTCGTAGAGTTTTAAGTAACTTCTATTCCATTTATTTTGTCAGGATTTTTTTAGTTTAGTCCAGAAAAAAATGCTAATAGGACAATCTTACATTTTGACTACCCTGTAAAAAAAGTTGTTATAATAAATACCTGCTTAAATATAACAAAAAATCTTTATAATCCTTATAATTATAATTAATATAATTATAAAGACACAAGAACATCACTCGACATTGATACCGAGAAGTAGGCAGATCGAGACATCTGTGCCATTTGACGGTTCTCATATCTGAAAACAAGAAACTGATACGTCAACGGTGAGAAGAGTAGGCAGATTGAGACCCCGAACTCGAACAGAACCATAGCCACATGTCTGATACTAGCACAATGGCATACCAGCACCTAGCAAGCACCAGCTACTGTCCTCAAACTGGCAAGTGTGTACGTTAACTGGCATGCTAGTTCCTTGCATGCTAGCTGATCGCAAATAATTTGATTTTTTTTGCTAGTAGCATGCTGCGAGATGCAAGGCGCATGAGTGGGGAGTGTCATTCGCAAGTGTGAAGCCCTACCGCTACGGGCATGCCAATAGCTAGCAGAGAATTGTCCGATTTGTTCATCAATCAGTCAATCGCGTCCACTGCTGGACATAAGCTTCAATCAGTTCTTTCCAGTTTTCTTTACACTGGGCCGCTTGTAGCCAGATTCCCGCTACACGTTTTATATCATCGGCCAATCCATCTAGTCGGTGGTCGTCCTCGGCTTCTTTTATAGTTTCTGGGCCTCCATTCCATAATACGTCTTGTCCACCGTCCATCTTGTGTTCTGGCTAAGTGCCCTGCTCAGTTCCACTTAAGCGTCGTGGTTATTTCGATGACGTCTTGAACTCCTGATCTTTGCCTGATTTGTTGGTTTGTTATGTGGTCTCGAAGGTTCACGTTCAGCATTGCACGTTCCATGGCTCGTTGTGTAACTCTGAGTTTATTCACAGATTTTTGCGTGAGTGTTAAAGTCTCTGCTCCATAAGTTTGTACAGATAAAACACATTGGTTATAAACCTTTCGCTTAAGACACATGGGAATTGAACTTTTTAGAATATGACTTAATTTGCCAAATGCTGCTCATGTTTCGCCCAGAGCCTATTCGCCTCTGTATTTCATGTGTTTGATTGTCTCTACTTATTTTGATTTCGTGTCCCAGATATTTGTAAGTGTCTGTTTGTTGTATGGTATTATTGTCAATAGTTATATTTCTACTCATTACGAGATTTGCTATAAGTTTAGTTTTCTCAAAGTTTATCTTTAATCCTCTTTCAGACAGAATTTTAAGCCAATGCATCATAGAAACTGTATCATGTAAATTATCTGCGATTAATACATCATCTGCAAATCTTAGGTGATTTAATCTTTCTCCATCTATATTGATGCCCATATCTTGCCATTGAGTACTCTTAAATATTGACTCTAGAGCTGCCGTGAACAATTTTGGTGAAATATTGTCTCCTTGTCTAACTCATCGAATTAAGCTAAATTTTTCTGTGTCTTTGCGTAGTCGTATATGTTTTGATTAGTGTCGTGTACCTGTAATCTATTCGGCTTTGATTTAGGGCTTCCAATATTGTTTTAAACTCTACAGAATCAAAAGCCTTCTCGTAATCGACAAATGCAAGAACCAGTGGTATGTTGTACTCGATGCACTTTTCTATTAAGATCTTTAGGGTATGCAAATGGTCATTTGTGCCATATCCTGCCCTGAAGTCTGTCTGTTCTTTGGGCTGATAGAAATCAAGTTTAGGTATTAGCTTCTTTGTTAAGATTTTTATAAAGATTTTGTACATATGTGTCAAGAGGCTGATGGGTCTATAATTTTCTAATTTAGTAATATCGCCTTTTTTGTGTAATAAGACTATTACTGCATTGTTCCAGTTTTTGAAATCGTACGCGCATGTGTAAGCATTTATTAAACAGTTCGCTTACTGATTTTAATAAAATTTCTCCTCTTGCTTTTATTGCCTTGATAACGAGTCCATCATCACCAGGCGATCGATGGTTCTTCATTTTCTTTAAAGCTACTCTTACTTCTGACACAGTAATAGGTAAAAGTATTTCCTATCCCTGATTTATGAGAGTCTTTACTCGCGTCGGGAAATTGTCTTGTGATCTTTGGCTGGTATAGAGCTCTTTATAAAATTCTGTGGTTATTTTCATAATGTTTTGTTTATCTGTTGTTGCCTTTCCGTCTTTATCTCTCAGCTTGCATATTTCTTTTTTACTTTGTGTGAATTTTCTTTTCATTATCTTTAAACCCTTGTTCTCTTCTATTGTTTGAGTAATTACATTAGTATTATATCTTCTTACATCTTTTCTCATTTCCGCTGAAATTCTTTTATTTAGTTTTTTATATTCTTCTTTGTTTCCCTTTTCGTTCTAGCTTAGGTTTCGTCGTATTTCCATGAGTGCTTTTGTATCCGTGAGTTGTGCGTTTCTAACCGAGTCCGTTATTAATTTATTGTAATCGTCGATACTTAGAGGTTTGGGATTATTACTCTGTAAAGTTTCGGCTATATTTTTTATGTATGCTTCTGGATGATTTGGTGAATTCCAAACTATGCGTTTGCAACTGTTTATCATCTTTGCTCTTTCTTTTTGTGGATTTATTGTTATTTTAGCTGTTACTGGTCTGTGGTCGCTTCCTACTGATAGTTTATGGAGTACAGTAACATCTTGAATAATTTGCTTTTTGTCTGTTATTATATAATCATATTCGCTCTTAGTTCTTCCGTCTGGACTAGCCCACGTCCATTTTCTATTCTGTTTCTTCTTAAAAAAGGTGTTCATTGCATACAGTTTGTGTTGCAGTAGAAAGTTGGTAAGCATTTCGCCTCTTTCGTTTCTTACTCCGATTCCAAAATCTCCGATTGCCATTTCTTGTTCGTCCTTTTTCCTTCCGAGTTTTCCGTTAAAATCTCCCATTATCATATTGTAATGAGCCGGTTCCTGCTTTTTTGCTCTTTCGATTTCCTCATAGAAGGCTTCGACAATTTCATCTTCGTAATCGCTGGTAGGGGCGTATACCTGGATTATTTTCAGATTGTATCTCTTATGTAGTCTTAGAGTCAGATTTGTTGTGTTGGTGATAAAATTTAATCATTTTATTTTTAAACTTGTTAATTTAAAAAATTTTTCGTTGGGATGATGAAAAAACAATCAAATTTATTGCTATATATAGATATTGGAGTGTCTTTTGAATTCTAAATCATCTCTATATAAAAATAAAATAGTCCGTGACAATGCTTACACAAGAATTTAACATCAAATTGGTAAAGGTATTACTATAAAGGAGATAAAAGCCAAAATAAAAAGTAACTCCAAAATTTTCTTCCCTACCAATTCAATTTCTCACCTAAATTTTTCTGTTTTTTGAAGTTCCGCTTCGAATTTATTATTCAATTTCTACGAATATCTGTGGTCATCAGCAATATTTGCCTTTTGAATTCATTCGGAATACCATCCATGAATCCCCTTTTTTGTTAGAAAATCAAAACCCTTTAATTACAAAACAAGTACTTTAGTTTCAAATGAAAACCACTCGATTGTTTACTAGCACTGGCTGTGTAAAAATCCACCCTGCTTTTTCGCCTTGCCAGTATCGGCAAGCGAGCTACTGGCATGTCAATTACTAGCAAATGTGTTTTGTGCTTGGCAGTTGCTGGCCTGTGCCAGCATCTGGTATGCCAGCTACTTTCCCAATTTACTTTCATGTGTCTACCCGGCTTCTCTCTTAATAGTTAATATCGCCGCTAAGAATAGTAGTTTTTATTTATTCCTTTAATCGAGGAGTTGTATTTTATAATTTCTGTTTTTTAACGATTACTTAATGATACGGACTAACCAATGTTTTTTTTCGATATCATAAATGTACTGTTGTCGATTTGTTTTAATAACCTTGTCATTATTTCATCGTTATGGAACTTTATTTATGGTTATAGGTATATTATATTTATTACATTTTTGTAATCAATTTTTATGGTTTTAGTTACAGAATAATATAGCACACATTCAATGTCAGCCAATAACGCAATCGGATGGAAAAATGGTAGGAGTTATTGAAATGTGGCGAATTGACTCCAATAACCCGTTCTATGAAGAGGACGAAGAAATCGCTTATAGTTATTTAGTTTGGGGAGGAATTGCTCTTCATTACGCTCAACTTTACTTAAATATGAACCAACAAAAACAATTAAATGAATTTCTTCTGGCTGTTGTTAAGTAAGCAAAATTACGTTTTTTCAATATTAGATATTTTTGTTTATCTTAATGTATTTGTATGTTAACTAAAAATATTTTACAAATAAAATCAATTATGTTTTGATGCTTAAACGAGTTATGTACATTATAAAGCAGCTAGTTTACTGAAAGAAAGGTGTATGTGAACATACAATGTTACATACCTCCTTCTTCGTTAAAGTTATAAAATTATTTTGTAAGATAATTCGTTTTCTCATTTTACTTTAGCAACAATGTGTAACATGCCTTCTTCATCTATTTGGTAATTCCCTTGGAAGAGCACATGAAAGAGTTACTGTTAGGCCATGCTTAGTTTAACACATACTATCTTCGTCTATGATAAAACTCAAAAGCAAAAAAATGTGACATATTTACTTCATCCACTTCTTCTTCTTCTTCGCGTGCCATATCAGAACTATCCGACGTTGGCGATCACCATTGCAAAGGCTTCTCGATCTTCTGCAATATGGAATAATTGTCCTGCATTTGATATCTGAGTCCATTCACTAATGTTTTTTAACCAAGAAACTTGTTTGTCATCCACTTAGCCCTTCAATTTATAAAATTTATTGGCTGAAACGAACTATTGACTATTGACGAATAGCAGAAAAGAAATCATCAGCCTTAAGGGAAATAATGGCAAACTAACGTCCAACAGAGACGAAATGCTAGAGATAGTAGAAGACTTCTATAAAACACTATACACAAATAAATTGGACTTAAACCCGACAGAACATACAGAACAAAAAATTATGAATCAAGGTTCAGAAGATATTCCCGACATATCAACGGCTGAAATTTACCATGCTCTAAAGAAAATGAAAAAAAAACAAAGCACCAGGAGAAGATGGAGTAGTGGCGGATGCGCTAAAAATCGAAGGCTCTGCTCTCATCAGGACAATCAAGCAGCTCTTCAATATATGCTTAGAAAACCAAGCAATACCAGCTGAATGGAATAGTTTTATAACGCTCCTCATGTATAAGAAAGGAGATCAAATAGACCTCGAAAACTATAGGCCAATCAGTCTTCTAAGTCACCTGTATAAATTATTTGCTCGAATTATCACTGCCAGAATTGAAAACAAACTAGAAACATGCCTACCAAGTGAACAGGCAGGTTTCCGCCCTGGGTATGGTACAAATGACCATTTAACTTGTCTAAAGGCCCTAATTGAAAAAACTATAGAGTACAACCGGCCACTAGTTCTAGTATTTGTTGACTATTAAAAAGCCTTTGACACTATCGACATGGTAGCTATCTTAAAAGCTTTGAGAGATTGTAGAATCGACTACCGATATACCAGCATTATTCAACATATATATGCAAATGCCACAACAGCAATAAACCTCCACACCCCTACTTAAAAAATAAAACTAAAAAGGGGAGTTAAACAAGGAGACAATATGTCAGCAAAACTATTCAATGCCGTAATGCAGCATGCATTCCAGATGTTAGAATGGGAAAACAGAGGTTTGAGTGTCGATGGCGAAAGGCTGAACCACCTACGATTTGCAGATGACATAGTTCTAATAACCGACGACTTAAAGGAGGCCAACGAAATGCTACAAGATTTACAACGAGTCTCCCAAAAAGTAGGGCTGGAAATAAACTTTGCGAAAACTAAAATGATGACCAACTTAGTACCTAGTGAACCATTGAAACTAGAAAATTGGCATATTGAAACGGTTGACAAATACATATATCTGGGCCACGAAATACAAATAAGTAGAGACAACCAAACATGCGAATTATCTAGAAGAATAGCTTTAGGATGGGCAGCCTATGGCAAGCTAAACGACGTGTTTAAGGAAAACATCCCAATAAAGCTAAAGAGAAAAGCATTTAACCAGTGCGTACTTCCGGTGCTCACTTATGGAGCTGAAACACTGACATTGACTAAAGCATCAATAAAAAAGTTTTCAAGTAGCACAACGAAAAATGGAAAGATCTATGCTTGGCGTAACTCTGAGAGACCGAATACGAAATGATGAGATACGGCGAAGAACTGGAGTGGAAGACGTCATAAAACGGATTACGAAGTTGAAGTGGAAATGGGCAGGACACGTCGCAAGACAGAGAGACAACAGATGGACCAAGAAGATTTTAGAATGGCGGCCAAGGGCAGACAAGCGAAATCGTGGAAGACCACCTACCAGATGGACGGACGACATTAAAAGAATAGTGACAAACTGGATCGCAGCTGCACAGGACAGAGAAGAGTGGAGACATCTTAAGGAGGCCTATGTTCGACAGTGGACAAATTTGGCTGTGTGATGATGATGATGATGATTGGCTGAAATACCAACAGCCCAGAATTATTAAAAGGAGGTCTAATAGAAGAAAAAGTAAAAAAGCTAAAATTGCAATATTTTTTTTCCGTATACTAGAGTATCAAAATTGTAGACACTAAATTCTGAGAATATAATTGACTTTTAACGACAATACTGTTGCCAGGTTGTGATTATAGATAATTTAATAAATTCTTTTTAATCATTTACATACAGCATCTAATTAGAATCTATGGAGAAGATATGAGCATATTAACGTGTGCATTAAAAACGGCGTCAGTCGGTGTGGCTAACGATCATATCAATATGGCGGTGGGATCAGGGCTAGACTCAATAATATTAAAATAACTATACAAATATGATTAGTTATTTAGAAGATTTGATCATAATTTAAACAGGTGCAATACATTTTTAATAAACTACGATTTATTTATCCCGCGGTAAACACTAAACACACGATATATTTTTTTATTAACATTGCCTCTGTTACTGCAACTACGTTAAGAACAAGAAACCATTATTATGCACAATCACAATATAATATTACAGTTACTATAAAATATTATTAAACTAAAAATATTTGAAAAACAACAAACGTAAACAATCATACACGATCTGTCAAATCGATCATAACAATATGGCCGAAGTGAGCTCGTGTTTAGTCACGTGATGCCCTGTCCATAGATTCTAAATCGATGACATACAGTCAAATAGTTATAGAATAACTGACTTTTTAAATTATATCATAAAACATGATAACGCTGATCAGTAGAAAAGAACAGTAGATAATCGAAGTTAGAGAGGGATATATCACTCAGTTTAGACGTTCACTGTACACTCAGTAGTGTATAGTTTATGTTGTTAAGTGAATTTTAAAAGTTTATATAAACTTATAAAAAGTAATTACTATTTTAATGGGAATAAGCCACAATAAAAGGATAAAATAAGTTTACTGACGTTTCAATTTCCAATACGAAAATCGTTCAATTTCAACGATATATAAAAAAATAACTTTAGAACAATACTATAAAAAGTATTTTTACCTAATTTTTTTTTGTATCTATTTGAAACAATTACTTTGCTTATTCAGCTTTTAAAAATTAGTAATTTATGTAGAAGTTACAGAAGACGTAAGTATTTTAATTTGACATTTATGCAAACACTAACTTACGTTTTGCAGACGATACAGTAATAATTACGGATAACAACAATGATTTACAGAACCTAATGCAACGCCTTAATGAACGCTGTCATGAGTAAGGACTGAAGATAAATTTAAAGAAAACTAAGTGCATGATCATGACTAAATCTGCACATGCAAATATCCAATTGACTATTGAAGATACTGCAATTGAGAGTGTTAATAACTATAAATACTTAGGAACATGGATAACATCAGATGTAGACCAAACCAAAGAAATTAAGACACGTATTGAAATAGCACGTACATCATTTATTAAACTTAAAAAGTTTCTTTGTTGTCGGGATATAAGGTTAGAACTACGCCTGAGAATGCTTCGATGTTACGTGTTCTCTACTCTTCTTTATGGTCTGGAAGCTTGGACACTAAAACAAGTTCATCTGAATAAGTTGGCCGCCTTTGAATTTTGGTGTTACAGAAGAATCCTACGAATATCATGGACTCAAAGAATGTCAAACATGGAAGTAACTAGAAGGATAGGAAATGAGGCGGAAATAATATTAACTATTAAAAGACGAAAACTTGAGTACTTGGGACATGTGATGAGAGGGCAAAAATACGTATTATTACAACTTATTATGCAGGGCAAAATCCGAGGAAAGCGAAATGTGGGAAGACGAAGAATATCCTGGCTTAAGAACTTGAGGGAATGGTTTGAATGCAGTAGTGCAGAACTTTTTAGAGCGGCAGTCAACAGAGTCCGCATAGCCATGATGATTTCCAACCTTCGATAGAAGATGGAACTTAAAGAAGAAGAAGCAAACAAAATTAATTAACCCATTATTTAAAGCAATATTAACAAAGTTCGACATTGGCAAAAGGTCTGGCACTGTCGTTTGAAGAAAACTCCTGATATAATATAAACTATTGAAATCACTATTAATCACATTGAGAATTAAATTTTCAACAGAAAAATCCACTCTAGTATCTAGATACTATATTGTGTTTTTTTTTAGTATATGTAATTCAATTTGTGCATGAGTTTAGCGTAACGTTTTCTGTAGCAGTAGCTAGCAGACCAATGACATTATTCATTTTAAAAGTTAGGTTTAAAAGAGTTTAGCTCAACTGCAAGATTAAATATCTCTACATTTAACAAAATATTGTCATCGAATGATTTATTTCTTTGAGTGAGCCAATTCATGATGTAAGCTTTCCCAAAGATAGTTGTTGGTGATGAATTTGGTTCAAAGTTTAATAAAATCTTTAAAAACCAACCTTTATATTTTTGGATGTCTATTTTAATTATGATCTTCTTCTTTCAGTGCCCTGTCCGATTATTGAATGTTGGCGATTATATTGGCAATAATAACCTTATTCACGGCGGCTCTAAATAAATTAAAGGTGGTTTTTTGATACCATTCTCGGAGATTTCGTAGCCAGGATGTTCTTCGTCGGCCTGGGCCTCTCCTTCTGTCGATCTTACGCTGTATTATGAGGTGTAGAAGGTTATACCTCCCTGGATGTCTCATTACATGACCGAAATATTGTAACTTCCGAATTTTTATCGCATTTGTTATTTCTGTGCTCTTTTTTATTCGATGTAAAACTATTTCATTTCTTATTCGACCAACCCAACTTATCCGCAATACTCGTCGATAAATCCACATCTCAAAGGCCTCTAATTTTTTCATGAATGTCTCTGTAAGGGTCCAGCTCTCCATACCATACAGCAATGTGGAGAATATGTAGCAGCGTATTAATCTGATTTTAAGATTTAACGTAATATCTCTATTAATTAGAATTTTCTTTAATTTATAGAAGGTGGCTCTGGCTTTTTCACTGCGTATTCTTATTTCTTTATTTATAACTCAGTTATCGTTATCGTTTGCACCCAAGTAGGTAATAGTGTGGACTCTTTCTAACTCTAATCCATACGCTCTGATGTTCGTCGGTTGTAACTTCGTTTTGCTGACAACCATAAATTTTGTCTTAGAAGTATTAAGTTTTAGCCCATATTCATCACATGCGTCGGTTACCCTATTTATAAGTCGTTGCAGGTCTTCTTCACTGAAGGCAATAAGTACCGTGTCGTCTGCATATCTGAGATTGTTGACATTAATTCCGTTGAGTTTAATGCCTGAATCTTCAACTAAGGCTTCTTTGAAAATAAATTCGGAGTAGATATTAAACAGTAGTGGCGATAGAATACATCCTTGCCTCACTCCACGTCGTATTTCCACTGCTTCCGTCGTGTTGTGTCCAGCTCGTATGTTTGCACATTGATGCCAATACAAATTTTTGATAATACGGAGGTCTCGGTCATCAATTCCCACCTGTTGCAAGACACCTATAAGTTTGTCATGGTCTACTCAGTCAAAGGTCTTTTCGAAGTCAATAAAACACATATATACTGGTTGTCCTATATCCCTACATCTTTGAACCATGACCTGCAAACTGAAGAGTGCTTCTCTGGTTCCAAGGTTGTTTCTGAAACCAAATTGTGTTTCACTTAGTTGTACTTCTATTTTGTTGTAAATTCTCGAGTGCAGTATTCTTAAGAAAATTTTTAGTACATGACTCATCAGACTGATAGTGCGATGATCGCTACACTGTTTGGCATTTATTTTTTTCGGTATCATTACAAATATTGATAGTAGCCAGTCTGTTGGTATATGTCCTGTTTCGTATATTTTATTAAAGAGGCTTAGAATAGACTGCTTGCCCTTATTGTCGAGCAGTTTGATTATTTCGCTTGGAATTTCATCTGGACCGGTTGCTTTCCTATTCTTTGATAGCTTTATAGCTCTTTCCAGTTCATCGAGTGTTATGTTTGGATCAGTCGATATATTTGAATTTATGTTCTATCTAAACAGCTCCTTAATATATTCTTTCCACCTCTCTAATCTGTCTTATTCATTGACTATAATATTTCCTTGTTTATCAAGTAAACTACTTGCAGTTGTTCTATATGTTCCAGTTATATCTTTTATGATAGTTATTTGTTTTCTTTGATTTAAAGAGTAACAAACCGGTATCCAAAAAAAAAGACTTACTTAGCCAAAAACTCATGAGAGAATCCGTCTCTCGAATTACTTTTATATAAAAAAGTAAGGCTTACAAATATAAAGGAGGCTTACAGAGAAAATTAAAGTACACAATATCCTTAACCCTGATTAATTAGGTTTTAGACCTAATCGAAGACCCAATCAGTTAGTGATTGTGTAAGCAGACATAGTAATATACCGAGCTATAATACGATCAAAAATAGACTATGGCTGTACAGTTTACTTGTCCGCATTCAATCATTTATTACAATCGTTAAACTTTATTCACAAAACTACTGTTCAAATAAGCTTAGGGGCACTTTGATCCAGCTCCGCTATAATCTTTGTTGTGAATTCCATGAACTCCTTTTTTTTCCTGCAAAGGCAACAAGTACTTATATCTTAAGCCAGCAGAATGTCATCGAATCCGATAAACCCAGTATTTAATATGTCTTAAGGTTAAGGTATTGAAATAACTCTGTAAAATATGATTGCGTCTATAAAACAAGAAACCACTCCATGATCTAGAACACCTCCTGATATAAAAAACTTACCTTTGTAAATTATGTAAGCAACAAACATATAATATCATTTTTCGGCGAGCTTTCAAGGATATTGTGAATACATACCATTACGATAAGGTGCTTTATACCAATGCATCCCAAAATGTGGATGAAGTTAATTGGTCTATCACTACAGATGATACAGTATTAGGAAAATATCAGATATCCAATAAATGTAACGTTTTTTCAGAGAACTCTTCAGTACTTCAAAAACTCTTGAATTGCCTTTCGATAATCATCAAAGCGTAGCTTTGTCAACCTTATCTGAATAACATAACCATCTCTCTCTCTCTTCAATCCTGACCCCCCAGGGGAGTGTAGTGGTCGACGTGATGTCGTGTATTGTCCGTCTCCAGAGATCTCTGTCTCTGGACATTTCTTTTAATTCATGCATAGGTCTTTGGCATATTCCTGTAATTTGATCTATCCATCTTGTTGGGGATCTTCCTCGTGATCTTCGGCCTTCTGCTATTCCTTGTATTATGAGTCTTTCCATGTTTTCTGTGTTTGCTCTCATAACATGCCAAATATATTTTAATTGTTGGAGATGGACTTTACTAGAGAGTCGTTGGCTAACTTTTAACTCTCTTAAAATTGAATTATTTGTTCCACGGTCGGTCTAAGGAATTATTAACATTCGTCTCCAACAGAACATTTCAGTGGCGTCTATCTTTCTTCTCTCCGATTGTCTCAGAGTGCAAGATTCACATCCGTAGGTCAGTATTGGGAATATTAAGCAGTTGATCAACCTCATCTTTATCGCTCTTGAAATTTGACAGTCCTTCCATATTTTGGTCATTTTTGCTGTGGCAACTTTTGCTAGATCACATCTACGTTTAATCTCTTCTTGTAATTACCCTGTGTTTGTGATTATTGATTCCAGATATAAGTATGAGCTCACAACCTCGAACCAGTCAATTGTGGTTATGTGTGGATGATTGTTGTGTAGTCTATCTACTATCATGATCTTTGTCTTTGATATGTTTAATTGCAGACCAAATATTTGACTTTCGTTTTCGATCAGTCGTATAAGTTCTATCAGCTCTGCTTGACTATTTGCAAGAAGGACTGTGTCATCTGCGAAACATAGGTTGTTTAGCTTATGACCATTTATTGAGATGCCCTTTTCCCATCCTTCAAGTGCTCTTCGCATAATATACTCCCCATATATGTTGAATAATTATGGAGATAGTATACATCCTTGTCTGACACCACGTTCTGGATGAAATTCGTTTGAAAGTGTGTCAAGTACTTTAACTGATCCAGTAGTGTGTTCATATAGTTCGGTTATAAGCGTAATTAGATGTTGTGGTACGAATACTTCTTTTAGTATTCGCCATAAGTGTCTCCACTTGACCTTGTTGAACGCTTTACGGTAATCTATAAAACAGATGTATAGTGGGATGTTGAATTCCCTAGATTTCTCGATTATCTGTCTTATATTCAGCAGGTGTTCTCGAGTGCCTCTACCTTTGGTAAATCCAGTTTGCTCTTGTGGAATTTCTCTTTGAAGGAATGTTTTCAGTCTCTCATTGATTATATGTAGCATTATCTTGCTGGCATGGAATATAAGAGAGATAGTTCTATAATTGTCGCATTTATGGAAGCTGCCTTTTTTATGTATGGTCGTTATTGTAGATTTTGTCCAGTCTTCAGGCCATTGTTTGGAATGCCATATTTGGTTACAGAGTAGATGAAGTAACTTTACGCCGGTTTCTTCTGTGGCTTTAAGCATTTCTGCTGTTATCATATCTGGATCTGGTGCTTTGTTATATTTGAGCTTGTTGATAGCCTGTCCTACTTCATTTTCGAGTATATTAGGTTCTTCTTCCACCTCGTCAGAGATTTGGCTAACAAGCTCTTGGCGTTGATCATCTTTATATAGGTCCCTGCAATACGATCTCCATGTCTCTGCTATGTCTTCTCTGTTTGTTCTCAGGGTTCCAGTGTTATCTTCAATGGCCCAAGTTCTGGCTCTGAAGTCTCTTGTCACCTAACCTAACCTAACCTAACATAACCATCATTCTGGCTTTATTTATCCTTAACATCCCTGAACAGAAAAGAGAAGATAATAATTCGAAGATGATTGAGGATAGAACACAGACGTGTGACACATGGTCACCTTATGGCCCCTACAGACTAACAGTAACAGTTAAGCTCCCTCGGCAACGATTTGGGTCTGTGTCGTCGTTTCAACTGACAAGTACCACGTGCAAGTATTCGAGCTTAAGAGACATGTAGTTCCTAAAGTAAATTTTAATTTAAAAACAATTCCATTGTCATCGACCTAGACTCTTAACATTATTAAATGTAAAATGTGATATATTTTTTAAATTGACACATGGAAGTCTTATAGACACCGTATTGTTAGCACCAAATACCAAAGGCACTGAAGATGATCTGTATAGATTGAAAACGTTCTGCCATAATTTTAAATGTTGACGACACTTTTAAAAAGTTTTTAAGTACTTGTATGTTTTTATACCAAAATACACAATTTTGAAGTGTTTTAACTTTTTTGTTTTTTTATTTTAAATTAGATTATGAATTTTAATATGTTAAGTTGCTAAATCCTAATGTCAAGTAACTCTGTCTTGTGATTATACCGCTTTCTCGATTATTGCAACTTTACTAAATTATATGCAATTGTGTCCAATTATTGTCTATGTTTAAGACCATTGATTATTTTTAACCTTTTTTCTCCACATATAATCGCTTATACGTTGCTACAAGCTGTGTCATCTAAGCCCTGTTATAGAACTGTTAATGTTACTTTTGCTACCGTTGGAACCAGGTATATCTACTATTTATTTCTTTATTCACCCTAGTAATAACTTACTAAGGTAGAGTTAATATTATATTGTAAATTTTTTTACATTTTATAGATCGATTTTCCAAGATATGGTGAGCATAGACAGTTTAGTAATCAAAATAATGAATTTTGCCCATAGACTGGTAGATGCAGATCGAGCTTCCTTATTTCTTGTTGACTCAAAAAGTAAGGAATTATATGCTACTATCTTTGATGTAGGAGTAGGAGACGAGCCAGATAAGTCTCCTTTAACATTAGGTGAAGATGACATGCCAGTTAAGCCAACCAAAGAAATTCGTTTTCCACTAGGAACGGGAATTGCCGGACAAGTAGCATTGACTGGTGAAGTACTTAACATTAAAGATGCTTATGCAGATCCACGATTTAATAGAGCTGTAGATCAGCTGACAGGTAGGTAAAATATTTGACTTTTACAAAATTGAAAAGTGTATTAGTTTAATAGTATCTAGAGGGCTACGCGCTTACTAATAATAGTCAAATCTGCGTTAATCGTCAATCTCGCATTGTCTTATATTTCCTAATTATGGATTTTTGTCAAGATTTTTTTATAATCTAATTACCAATTGTATTTGATCCAATGATATATCTGCTCCTGGATAATTCTTAACCGAGTATTTCTTTCTTTCTTTCTCCCCTTTCTTTTACCCTATCAGGGTGTCGGATTTGGGCTAGCTATTTTAACTTTGATGGTACACAAGGCAAATATCGAACACAGTATTTAATCAAATCTTGCCCAAGTACTTTCGATCACAAAATCATCTTCAGGGGCATTTCGTCAGTTGTGGCCTATCCAGCAGTAACAGAATGTCATAAAAGTAAATTGGGACATAACAAATACACTAAACAAAGACAAACAAACACTTTAAAATTTAAAAATTGGAGAAGCTACATTTTATATAGAAGCCGGAGACAGAAACAATATACTTCTATATGGTATGCTTATATACTGCTATGCTCATTATTAATATTCCCCCTAGCTATAATATTATCCCTACTGTTAGTATACAAAATACCCCTATTCCTATCATAAGTCATATTTCTAATAGAATAATTATCATTTACATTTCTAATCCTATTCCTATTACTACTTAAATCTAAACATTTATCATCATTGTCCGGTTATTTAGTAATTCTTCTTTCTCTATTCGTTGCTCGGCCTCTCCTTGCATCTTTTTATGTTGCTCTGGTAGTTTTTTGAACACGTTATTTCCAACACCTTTTTTTCTTTATAGCACCATCTCCATTCCTTGCCATCCACTGTGATTTTATTGTATCCTATTTTGACCATTTTTCCATTTTTCCTCATTTCTCTTGCTTTGTCTCTTAAAGCTTTCATTTTCTCTCTCTCTCCTTATGTGAGATCCTCTGTAATCCATATTTTTTCGATCTTCACATTCTTAAGTTTGTATTTCTTTATTAAGATTGTTGTTTTTTCTTCTTCGCTTTCAAGTTCAATTAAGCATATTTTTGTTCCTATTTTTTGTGCTAATATTGGTTTTGACTCCAAGATGATTTTCTAATATAGTAGTCATTCCCTCTTTCAAAGTTTTTGGGTCTTCAGAGTCTATTTTTGCTCCACTGATGATTATATTCTTTTTTCTTATTTCTTTGTCTAATCTTTCCAATGAGCGTTTTAGATCATTTAATTCTTCCGTTATCTTTTGGTTATCGGTTTTGGTAAGGTCGTTTTCTCTTTTCAAATCTTCTTTCTCTTTTGTCCATTCTTCCTTCACCCTTTCTATTTCCAGTTTTATGCTTTTTATTTCTTCGTTATTTTGTTTTATCTCTTCTTTAACTTCTTTATATATCTTCTGATCTCCTTATTTTCTTCCTTCATTTCTATTTTCAGCTCTTTTATTTCCGTTTTAATTTCTTTATTTATTTCTTCTAGTAGTTTCTTTAGTTCTTCCATTTCGCGATTTTTTATGTTATCCTTTGGAGGTGTTCTTAACGTGGCTTTGTTTGCTTTGAAGGCTTCCTCCTCGTCGGATGAGTTATCGTGTTCTGGTTTATTTCTTTTGCTGATCGTTCGATTTAGTTATTGTATTACATTTACTTTTAATTTATTATTTTAATTTAATTTAATTCTAATCCCAACTTTAATCAAATCTATTTTAAGGCCAGATCTGGATTTTTGTTATAAAATTATGTGGTTTTTATTTTAATAATTAATTTCTGGTCAGCACTAATTACTGTCTTATCTGCCAAAAAAAAAAAATAAAAACAAAAAACGCGTAGGAATGCTTAAGCAGGTCGACCCCTCGGACTTAAAACATTCGCCAAAACCACTTTTTTAATCTTTCACACAATTATTCATTTGCTTAAGACTTGTTAAAATTATTAAAATGGTTCTATCTTACTTATCTGATGGTATTTTCTTTATTAACTACTATCACTGTATGCACTTAACTTTTAGTACTTATTTTTGATCTCGGTTGAATTTTCTAACTTGTAATTCCCCAATAATTTTAAGTTTATTACGAAGCGAACTTAAATGAACCTACTGTTGTCACTTGCAGGACCGTACTCCCCGAGTATTTCTAAACCCATTATTTATTATAACATAATCGATAGAGATTCTCATTTTATTTCTTGTTCTAATGGTTATGACAATGGATGATAAAGAATTAGAGATTAGAGTGCCAGTATAGGCCGTATTTTTACAATTTGTGGTATATTCCCAAAAATGTATGTTAAGAACTTGATGTTATTTTAAACAAACAACAAAGAATCAAATTCTTGTTGATTGAAGAGGTACGAAAATAAAAGTCAGACATATATAGAAATTTTTAAAAATAATACTTTTCTTTTTAGAACTAGAAATAAGGATAAACCATCTTAGGATAAAAAAAAACTAAGGACAAAAAAGTGTGCACGTGGATGGGTAAACCTCTGTACGGGCGACATCCCAATAAAGTCAGTCAAGAATATGTCAACAATATAGCGTCGAACTATTGGTTATCAGAAAAGATGTTTCCTAAAACAGAAGGTTTATTACTTGCTATCAGGATCAGGTTATAACAATTAAAAATTACCTTAAATAAATCGCCAAAGACCCTCAAGCCCAAAGCGACAAATGCCAATATGAATGTCAAGCCCAAGAAACCATCCAACATCTTACTGGTGGCTGCCAGGCATTTGCTGCAACTGAATATAAGAAACGGCAAGACTTAGTAAAAAAGATCCTTTATCAAGAGATAGCTTTCTAACTGGGACTTCTCCACACAAAATATCTCTTATAGTATTAACACATTCCTGAAAGTATGCTTGAGTAGTAGTACAATAGTAGTACAACTGGAGTATACTGGAATCGCATTGTGCTCACAGACCAAACAGTAGTATATAATAGACCAGATCTCGTACTAGTTAATAAACTAATAAGAAAAACAACACTAATCGATGTGGCGATATTTACCAACAAAAATCTGCATGTTAAATATAACGAAAAAATCTCCAAGTACAGAGAACTAATAATACAAATAAGGAGACAATGAAGAATAAAAAAGTACGCAGACGATACCTGTTATTCTTTCTATTACTGGAGTAATTCCGAAGAACCTTTTAGAAAACATAAAAAAGCTGGTTCTTAATGAACATTTATATAAAACCATGCAGAAACCTGTACTACTCTCGATATCTGACAAATGTCGTCTCATCCCTAGCAAAGTTTTTCTTAATGATTTCCAACAATAAATTGAAAATAATTAATGGGAAATTAGAATGAGGAAACGAATTTATTAGAATCAATAATTTTATTGTCGACAGTGTTCCACACAAAGAGCTCCACATACCAAATTTATTAAATAGATACATTTAAGTGAGGTATTTCTTGATCTTTCGCTTCCCTTTTTCCTATATGTAGTGGTTTTCAGAAAGTTTATTCTACCGTGAATATGTTATTAATTGAAGTATTCCTTCACAGTAACTTAACGCAACGATAGAATTAATAATTAAAATGTGAGTAAGCCTTTCTCGTATTCTTAGCAACATACTTTCAATTTGATCTGGTTATTCTTTTTACGTCGTCTAGTCATCTCATATGTGGTCGTTCTCTTGGTCGTCTACCTTTCTAAGGATTCCAATGTTGTATTGTGGCATTCCAATGTTTGTCTTTTTGTATAGCAGAATGACCTGCGAAGCTCAATTTGAGGTTGACAACTTTTGTTTTTGATCTTACTCAGTCGTTTCTCCTTTCATCTGACAGTCGTATACCTAAATACCCGATTAAACACTTTGCTCTTGAAGTAATGAGGTATTATTTTACAGTACTTTACTATCCAAATGAGTTTTCCAAATTCTGCCCATGAAAGTTTTGTTCTTCTAGTGATTTTCGCACTTTGTTTCTCTTTATCAAGTTTCAGAATTTGGCCGGATGTAGATATATTAATGGACTAGTTATATACGTCTGAGTTGGCCTGTGTTGGTTATTAATTTTGTTTTTGTCATAATTGAGTTCCTTCATCATAATTTGTAATTCCTCGAATGTAGTAGCTACAATCACGACGTCGTCAGCGAATCTGGGGTGGTTTAACTTGTTGCCATTAACGCTAATGCCATATGTTGACCAATTTGTAGTTTTGAAGACGTTTTCTAGAGCTAGATTAAAAAGCTTTGCAGATATTACGTCGCCTTGTCTAACTTGTCTCTTAATGGGGATGGGATTTACATCTTCGCCTAGTTGTACACTGCCCGTCATATAAAACTGGTAGACTTTTTTTCCCAATGTAAACCTGTGTTCAGACTGGACACAATGGTTCGTGAATCAATTCGTTGTTGTAATCACAGATAACGGAATTGCACTAAATCTAAACAAAACAAACATTCAAAAATGTATAAAATTTTTAGATAGGTATTATTTTTATCATTAGCAACAAAAAACCGTATCTAATAGATTAAAGACCCAGAGATAGGGTTGAGTTAATATACACAAAGTTTGAAGGATATTTAAACCTAGGGTATTGGTACAAGGAACATTGGAATGCATCTACTGTAATTTTATACTTCAATTACCTACCGAACATGACCTGTATTTTGTGTCAATAAGTTTTGTAACAGGCAAACTACCAAGATTAATTTATTATTTATTCCAAGAACGATAAAAAATGTGAAAAACTAAGATTATATTTTATCCTACGTATTATAAACTATAAAATATTCGGGGCAAAAAAACGCTTTTCAAAACGTGACAGTTACAATATCTCACTGTAATGTTTTATTAAAATAATTTGAATTTATGTCTAGATTGATTATCTCTCAATATTGTTGAATTGGAATATTTTATAAATTGTTATAAAACACAAATCAATGTATGGGTACTTAATTGAGATGATGAAAAATTACAAAATTAATATGAGAATTTTTTAAGATGCACGTTTAAACAAATTTAATGT